GTGCACTCCAGAAGCTTCAGGGTCTTGCAGGCTGCATCACCTGCCCCTTGGATAGTGCATCTATCTTTGGAAGGCACCTAGGACATGGCAGCTCAAGCACAAGATCCCACCAAAAATAACATCCAGACAGAATATTCCTCTTAGCTCAGAAGGGATTAAATTCTTTTTTACAAACCCTTGTAGATTTGTATTGCTTGCTCCTCAAGTGATCATTCCAGAAGGCTGGAGGACTGGTTAATGAGGCTAGACACAGATGGGGAATATTGAAAAAGGATAATTAGCCTTATTTCCACACCCTGCCCTCCCCCCCAGCCTTAGTCTGTGATTCCCCAGAGTTACCAACAGGAAGATTGTGTGGAAAGTTTTATAATTGCATCAGGTCTAAACTGGGGCATGTTTCCCAGGTGAGAACTGCGTGTCCTGAGTAGGGGTGGTAAAAAGCTGGTCTTTTCCAGAGCTTCTCCTCTCACTCTCCCTTTCTCAGCGTAGAGGTCAGGGGAGAAGGCACCTTTGTGCTGCTCTGATTAGGGATCTGAACCATCTTCTCGGCTCCAAGTCCCCTTATACCCAAATACCACCGCGTGCTTTCTCAGCCCCATGTGCACCAACTGCTTTGATGAGGAGAATGCAGTTGTTTTGAGCCACCTGGGGGGAAGTTGGAGGGATTTCTGGCACTTGGTCTGCATAAGGTTGCTGTTTCAGGAGCCTTCAAGCCTTCTTGATGTGGCTGCTTGTCTTTCTCTCTACTGCCTCTGAGACCCTGCCTCCATTTCCCCCCTCCTTGCAAGGATGTGGCTCTGCTGACACCCTTCTGCAAGGGGTTAGTGGACACCTTCTGACACACTGCACCCTTCCTACCCCTTACACTACTTCTTTTTCCTGCAGAAAGGCCTGGATTCAGCTCTGCTTGACCACTGCACTGTGCTGAGAGGGTGTTGTGCTGTGCCAGGGTAGCAGGAGCAGGGTGTTGGGGTGGATTGGGACCCTCCTTTTCACATCTGCTAGCTCTGCACCTGGTGGAAAAACCAGACTGAAGGAGAAAAGCTGGTCTATTAGACTTTGCCACTGAGCCAAAGCATGAAAATTTGGGTTTAAGCCTCTTTTGCAGATTAGCTGGAGCTGTGTGACTGTAGTGCTCATTTCAGCCTGAATTCCTCCTTCCTTTGAGGTGCTTATATGGCTAAGGGGACTGCTGGGAGCAGATCAAACACTTGTTCTTCAATTAGAATTCCACAGTTCAGTGCTGGAAGTTTGTGCTCTGTGGAATGACTTCTGGGACATCCCATGGGTTCTCTTCATGTGGTTTTGGTGCCCAGCACACGGAGCTGGGCCTCTTCCATGCACGTAGCTTGCAGCAGTTCAGTCAGGAGATCTAAAGGGAAGGATGACAAGTCCTTCAGTGGAAGCTGGAAATCATCTTCCCACAGCTGGGCACCAGAACAGCAGGCTGGGTGGGTACAGATGTGCCTAAATGCTTGGGTACCTCTTTGGTTCAGAGATGAAGGGTCCTAAGGAGGACACCTGTAGGTATCAGAGGCTCATAGTGATCTAGTTTCCTTTTAATAACTGTATAATAAGGAAGACTTTTCTATTTTACAGTTGCACAGCACCTTGTGCAGTAGCATCATCTGTGCTACCAGGCTCCAGCAAGGTCCAAAAAATTAATAACTGTTCTGTGTTTTGGAAGTTTTAATTATGCCATTTAATAGCATAGCAGAATAATTAAATTTTTACAGGACAGTGATGAGAGTGAGTGTTTTTGTGTGTGAATTACAGGGTCTGTGAGACACTAACTACTTGTTTTATTGCTGACTATATACTTATTTTCATGTTAAGTCCTGGGTTACGCTGTCTGAATAGCATCCCAGTAAACAGTCAGGCAAATAGTTATTTAGCAAGTACTTAAAAGTGAAAGGTCTTGTAATTTTCCTTAGTAATGACTGTGATTTCTTCCAGCTGGATTAATGACTCCCATTTCTCCCCATGGAGAAAAAGGGAGTGTTTTGGTTTCTACACGGGGAGTTATTGTCTTCTATAATAATGCAGACCAGAGGATTATGGGGTTGTTTTTTTTCCTTCCTGGCCTAGGATCTGGGCAAGGTTGAAATGTGCATAACCTGAATTAATACCTTGTAAAGCCCTTCAATATTATTTCTTTGGTCATTCCTGTTGGAGTGGTGCAGGAGCTGCTGCTGGCATCAGCCCAGCCTGAGCAGATCTCAGAGCTGCTTTTGTTTCAGTTGATGAGGCAATCAGTGGGTCTTGTGATGGAATTGCCTTGAAAGGTCACTTCTAATGACATTTCTGATGCATTCCTCTCTCCCCAGCTGGTCAGTCCTGGTGGGACAGGTTGCCCAAAGCTTTGCAGCTCTGTTGCTACAGCTAACAACTTGGAAAATATACTTTAGATGCTAGCAGGCCAAAGGAAGTAAAAGAAAAAAGTAGAACAAACTGGTCCATTCTGTGCCCAGCCACTGCTGCTGGTACCCTGAGGTGGTGGAGGAAGCAAGTGTCAAAGCTGAAGTCATCCTTTGGCAGCAACCTGGTTTGTACCCCTGGTTAGGAATTGGTTTCTTCTCAGTCATTGGAGGGCTGTGCCAGACTCCTCCTGTGCATGGTGTTGAAGGGCTCCAGCAGGTGGAGGTTCCTTCTTTCTCACCATCTTCCCGCCCTGAGAACTGTGCCTTGTAGTGCAGGTCCAACCAAAACCAGGGAACTCTGTCAGACTGCAGGCTGGCAAATCCCTGGAGCCATTTTTAATGTCCATCTTGACTTCAGCTGGTAGAGTGGATGTTGTTCAATTTTGTCTCTGGTTGGAGAAGACTGAAAGTACTCCTGAGGTTAAGACCAAGGTGCCTGTGTTTAGATCTGAGCTCTGCCACAGACCTTTCCCCCATCCTGCATGTCCAGATCCTGTAAGCTATTGGATTCCTGTAGGGTTATGGGAAGTGAGCTGTCACCTCAGCAGAACAAGCAGAGTTAACTGCAAGATGTGCTTTCTGTGACCTCAGCTTCCTTTCCCAACCTCTTGGTCCTAGACTCTTCAAGTCCCAGAACCATGCAGGGTTTAAGAGTTGGGATCTAAGCCAGGAGCAGGTCCTGTGGCCAGGCCAGCACAGGTTTGTTGTTTTTTTCCCCAGAGCATGTGTTACACCTCAGAAATTCCTGCCTGCTGGGGATCTGCTTCATGTTCCTCTTGGTGGCTTGTGCACCACCAGTGGTGGACCCTGATGGCCTGAGAGTGCAGGGGGGTGACAGGAGGAGGGGTCTGTGCTGGACCCAGCCCTGCAGAGTGTAGGAGATGTGGTGGTAGCCTGAGACCAGCACTCAGGGCTTGAAGGGGGTTCTGTGGGGAGCTCCTCTGCTGCATGAAGACACCAAGCTCATTCCACCAAAGGAAATTTGTGGGTGTAGAATACTCTTTGGGGTGTGACTGGTGTGTGATGTGGCCATCCTTGTTGAGGGCTGTGACTGGGGGTTGTGTTTGGAATCCCCTCCTTGGTGATGATGCTGTAGGAAGTTTTCTGTTTCTTCCTGGGCTGCTTTTCCCACCCTGCTCCTTCCCAGTCTGATCAGCAAATAACCTGTAAACATTCCTAATGTGGGATTTGTCTCTATCCACATGACTGCCACTGCTTGGAGAGGCATGTGACAATGCAGGGGGGACACGGGGTTAATCTCCTCCTGCACTGCCAGAACAAGGCTGAGCAGGAGGTGCACAGCACAAGAGTTTATTCTTATTTCTGAATATGCCTTTTCCACTGTACTTATAGTCTGGGGAGAAGGAGGAAGAACAGTTTTTCCTCCTTAAGAGCTGCTTCAGAAGCAGATTCACTGTCAGGATGGGGACATGGGTGCACTGGTTGGGTGCACATGGGGTTTCAGGGCATCGACGCCTCCAGGCTTAACAAACAACTCCAGAGCACTTTCCTCACCTCCAGCCCAGCAATAACCCAGCTGGATTTGCAAGGGCTTCTCTGTGTCCATCAGCCAGTTGTCACATGGAAATGGCAGGATCAGGTTGGTGGGAAGGAGTCAAGCAGGGATTATCCTGCCTTGTAACCAGGGCAGATCCTCTGACGGAGGCTTTCAGCACATGCTCCAGACCAGGGACAAGCCTGCCCACCCTTCCTGGCAGGAGATGCAGCCAGAAGCCCAGACCACAGGAGGGCGGGATGGAGAACTTTGCCTTCTGGGCTGTCCAATCCATGGATCAGGCTGCTTCCATGCCCAGAGCCTTTAACAGGAGCAAAACTGTTAGCTTGGCAAACCAGGGCAACCTCATTAAGAGCTGCCGAGAGCATGACAAGCATGTTGCTGGAGGCAGGTCATTGTAAATGAGTGGGCTAAAGTAGCTGGGGTTTTCTAACAATTAATTATTGAGTGGTTTTCTAGGGATTCTTTCTCATGTTTGTAATTCATCCCCTGCTGTAGCTGCCATATTGATTTATCATTTTTTTGAAGTTCAGTCCTTGGCTCCCTCGGGGCCTCAAACAAAAATTAACTTGAAACTGAGAGCAAATTTCTCTGTTCTGCTTTGTCAGACTTTTCTCTCCTGTTCCCCTTCCCCAGAGCCAGCTCCTGTGCTCTGCTTTGGGTTGCAGATGTTACAGTGTGTGACAGAAGAGCTGCCTCACTGACCAACAAATGAGGAAATCAAGAGGCTAATTAAGAGCTTGAGATTGCCCCCTGTGTCCTGGGGGCTGCTAGTGAGACAGGCCTGTTGGAATGAATAAGCATTCCTGTTTGTTTGAAGAGGAAAAAAAAAAATCCCCTCCTCCCCCAGCTTTAATTAGCCACTCTTTTCCTTTTTTCTGCCATGAATGTAGAGGGTTTGTCACTGGAATGAAATCTTAACAAGGTGCAAGCTCCTCAGCTTGGAGTTGATCTCTGTGCAGGTGGTTCAGGGACCTTTGGACCTGTTTTCTTGCTGGATCTTTGGTCTTGCTGTTAGGTGCAGCTTTTCCTCACCCTCAGGTTTGTGTCTTTTCCTCCAACAGAGTGACTAAAGAAGTGGACTCAACCTCAAAAGAAGCTAAATCTTTTCTGAAGCAGCAAGAGAAACGACAGTCAGCAGCTTCAGCTTCCCTTCCAACAGTCTCTGGGTGAGTGTGTGGTTTCTCTGCCCAGGTGTGAACCTTGGTGAGAAAGGCTGAACCAATAATACAGCATCTGTGGTATTGAAGCTAATGGGTATTTGTTTTC